TTAATCATTTCATTCCTCTACATAACAGACAAAAGTCATAGATTACGAAATATTTTAACATCATAATTGGTCAGATTATATGTAAATAAAATCTTTTGATTCACAACTTAGGCATGAATGCTCAACAAAATGTCACGGGTAAAAAAAAACAGAGAAAATCATAAAACCATGATCCTTATATCATAAAGACATAAATAAACTTAGCCAAACACGTTAGGAAAAAAACAAACATCAAATCCATAGAAACCATTATTGCAAGCATAATTTGAGAGCAAAACTTACAAAATAATTTGTTCCCTCTTTTGCAGTAGCTCCACTCAAAATCACATAGGAAAAATATAAGAGAAAGTGAAAAGGTAAGCCCTTAGGACCAAACCTTGAGCATTGAAAAAATCATTAGGGAGAAGCTCTCCGATACTCCCAAACTCTATCTCTAATCGTTTCTAGTGGCTTTCCTCTCTCAATGGTGCCCTAAAATCTCTTTTTATAGCGAAATTCTCAGATTTGGAAAGCAAAATTGTTTCAAAAAATATTCTCGCTTGATCCACGCGGTCATGCCAGAATATCCTGTGGTCACGCCAATTCTGAGTTTGTCGCCAATATGGTCACACTTAGTCTAAGCATGACTATGCTGGTTATGGCCTCTTTTTTTTAGTTATTCTCATTTTGAAATGCATGCACGATCACTTGTAACCTACACATCATCAACAAAAACCTTCCATAAGTTTAAATCCATGATAAACAAAGCAAAATAATATGTAAACAGTGGGAATAAAGGTAGGTGAAAAAATGTAGAATTGATGTATGTCAACCTACCTGACCAACTATAGCCCGTGTGGTCCTCAACTCATGCAGCTCCCAACTCTAGTCTGTGCAGTCTACGAATGTTATTACAGCTCCTCGTCACGGCCTTTGTGACCAACTACTACCTAAACAGTCCATAGCTCATGCAGCTGTCAACTCCAACCTCTGCAGACTATAGACATTATCTCGGCTCATTCAGCTCCCAACTGCGACCTCTACAGCTTATAGACGTTATTATAGCTCCTCATGACATGTGTTAGAATTGCATTTATTTTGTACCTTAATTCTCCCATTTTATATATTTATATTATACTTTGAGAAATATTTTGATGTTATGTTGCAGGATTCAAGAAAAAGAAGTACATGAAGCTCGAAACATTACTAATCATAGCAAAGTGGTGTTTTGACACCTAAACGCCAGGATTGGGCAGCTAAGCACCAGATATAGGAGTAATTCTTGCACAAAAAAGTGTGCCTGAAAGTAGGTATTACGATAGTGACACTTTGGTGCTAGAGAGTGGGTGTCAGGTGATCTAGATTTTTCCAAAAAAATTAATTATGAGAAGGAAGAAAGTAGACGCAACAAACCAGTGCCAAGGCACCCAAAAGCAGCACCTAAAAGAAATTATTGACAATGCAGATCTGCGACTGCAGTGGCTAGGCACCAGTTCATGAGGTTTGATGGTTTTCTACATTTCAAAGACAACTTTTTACCAGAAGAAGTATAAAAATGTTAGATATGAAGAAGAGTGGGTCTTTTTCTACATTTTGGAGTGTAGAGCATTGAGGAGGAAAGCCAAAAAGGCTTTGCAAAGAGTTTTTAAGTGGAGAAAGGAGAAATTTGAGAGGATCAAATGGTGTAAGCATTGTTTGTTTTCACTTTGCTATTTCTACTTTGATAGGAAAGAAGATGAAAACACTTCAGTTTGCATTTTCTTGGATTTCTATGTAAGACTTGGCGTTTGATTTCTGAACTTGAACCAACGTTTGTTTTGCTGAGTTTTATAAAGAACAGTGATTAATTTTCTTTATTTTTTTCTTGAATTGGAAATGTGGTAGGATATAATGGCGTTGTGCTAATCTTTAAACTTAATTTATATTTTGTTGGACAAGTAGAATACTTTAAATTATTCTTGAACACAGGGATCCGAAAGGATAATTTTTAGAACAAAAAGAGCTAACCGCTTAAACTCAAACTCATTGGAATAGGGATATTACCTTTGAGTTTATGCAATCAATAGGGAGATAATATTGCTTAGGCTAATCATGAGATTTAGCGAACAAATCCTGTTACAACTAATCTTTCTTAGACTACCAAAAGGGAATAAGAAAAGCTTTGCTTTTGATTGACACTGGGTTTTGACCATTTCCTCAATTCTATTCACTACTAGACCAATTCAAGGAAGAAATCTATCAGAGCTTGAATCTCATTAAAAATTCTTCTCGCTTGCTAGATTCGTCCTATTTTTAAAATTTCTTAGGATTGTAATCTTATTGAACTTTGAGAATTTCAATATTTTAGGATAGGACCGACGTTAATAAACTAGAACTTTTGCGAATTTGGACTCATCTCGTTCATTATGTGATCGACACACTGAAGCCAATTTTGTACATTACTGATACACCATATATATTTGCGTGAGCCGCTCGTGCTTCATCACACTTGAAGTGCGTCACACCTCAATGATGTATGTGACCAACTTTAACCTACGCGGTCCACAAGTTATGCAACTCCCAATTTTGACATTCATGACCTCAGACGATACCATAGTTCATGAAGCTCTCAACTCAAACTTCTACGGCCTACGAATGATGTCATAGCTCAAATAGTTTCCTACTACTGCCTCTATGGCCAAATGACACTCCTAAAGCAACCCTCGATGCGCCATAGGACCAATTATTACCATAGCTTGCAGCTACAGTCTTCATGAGTTGGTGCTATAGCTAGCCACTATCTACAACATTCTGGGTGGGATACTGCCATCATAACCATTAACTACTTATTTTGCGACTTGTTATAGCTATTTTTGCTAAGTTGTTATTGTATATCAACTTTATAACCCTATCTTCCCTAATTCTGAAGAAGAGTGGACCCATGTACTCAAAGTTACATAGTAGATAATTTCAACTGGAACACGTCCCGTGGTTTATTTCCTCTTTCTAGGATATTCCGTGTAAAAAAGTTGAGATATCTATTACTACTTCTATTTAATTCATTGATAATATGATGAATTTTTGTGCAACACTAAGATGCAAAATTTATTACTTTACTACTGTGAATCTTTTGGCACGCATAAAATTTAATAAAAGTAGCTTGCTTATACAACATGTAATATTAATTTATTTCTATATATGTCATCAACTTTTCACATTAATTTATATAAAATCTTAGTTTCATAATCCTATCTAAATATATGTATGAAAAGATATATTTCACATAAGAAAATTAGCGTTAAAGATATTTTTGATATAATGTTAGTGTTTAAAGTGTTATACATGAGTGAATATCCAAAATTAGATGTTTGATTTATAAATAAATGAACAATATGTTATGCATATGTAATCCCCAATATGTCTTTTGAATTGAGCTTAATAAAGCCACCCCATTCAAAATGTCTCGATAGCATAAGCGAGACAGGGGGTCAGTTCGGCTGACTTATAGCGAAAGTGTAGGATTCATACTCAGGTTCACTCTTTATTTCAATTCAATATCATCTTTTAGGGTTCATTTATGGAACTTTGATGCGGTTACTATTCACTAAATATGTGGAGTTTGTACGTACAGAAGCAAGTAGCACCCACTTGGAGCTCTGTAGTACTTTCTTGAGGCTTGGCGGCACTTGCCTGAAGTGTCACTTACATATGGTTCGCCGACGCATGTATGTGACCAGAAAACACTCACCTTGTACACCAGGGGAGCTCGCTTATGACCCTAAAGAACTCACTTAAATCGTGAAACCACTAATCATCTTTATGATCCAGAGAGTTTTAAAGTTTGTACTTTTCAAGAACCGTTTCACAATAACCAACACGTCGATCAAAGGGTCCACTTGTCAAGATCCTCTAAGAAATGTCTTAATTTATTTAATCTTTTTTAATTTATGCATTCTTATAGCCCCAAAGAGCTGGAAAATATAAAGTCAAAGGACAATACAACAAGAGGTCTATAATATTTTGTATTACAATTAATATAATACTTAAAAATTTTCCCTTTTTCTTTCTCTCTCTTTATCTCTCTACTTTGACCATTAACCACCTTTACATAGCCTTCTAATTATGCCCAAAGTATTTGTAAGAAAAGTGCAAGCATGACATACAGACAAATTTGAATTCAATCATCATACCCATTCAAATTAAGATATTTCCAACCACTCCGTAATAATATTCAGCATTCAATTTTTTTTCTTATATTGCAACTCTTTTATATTTAGAAAATCTAATTCATAATTGAGATGTTTGTTGCAAGTGTTCCTTCTCTTAAATTGAGATGAGAATGTGAAAGTTGCTTTTTGGAAATTAAGAGTCTCTAGTTATTCATAAAATAACTAAGCCTCTTTAAATTATGGATTTGGATAGAATACATTCTACAAATTTTAACAAAAAAATGATTGTTTTTTTGGGTCTGAGGCTAATTAAGATTATAGTGTGTGCGTAGAGAGAGGCTTGGCCAACTCTGATTTGAAGTAGGATTGAACTAGATCAATATTAGCTTTACATTGAATGATGGCTTTTTGCTCTTGAATTTCTTTCAATTTCTTTTTGCTCCTTCAACAAATTTCTTTTTTTTTCTCCCCTAAAATGAGATTGTGTCTGATTCATGTTGTCATTCAAAGGAGAAACTACTATGTCTGGAGTTCAGATGCTGTTGATTCAAGCTGTCATTTGAATGAGAAAATATTGTGTCTGGGCTTCGGACGCGAGCATCGTCTGGACAATGGATGCGATAGACCGGGCGAGAGTTTTTTTTTTTCTTCTTTCGCTCCTCCGGTGAATTGCATCTATTGTCTGGACACTGCTTGCGTCCAGATTTCGAATACAATATTTTTTTCATTCGAAAGACGTCTTAAACTTAATTCATAAGATATTATAAGATGTTTAATACCAAAAAATATTGCATAATATTTATGTTCTTTTATAGGGATGCCCTAGAGCCCCCCCAGGCCACAAGCATCCGAAAGTTTAACATGGATAAGGAAAATGAAGAAATAGCTAAAAGCAGAAGTCCAGCTCCAAACTTAACACGAGTATGGCAAATTCCCCCACCTTCCCCTTCCCAACTTTAACGAAACACCCACAGCTAAAATCCAACCCCAAGATCCCCTCTCTCTCTCTCTCTCTCTCTCAAACTTGCATCTTTACTTTTTAAAACTCCAAGGCGGGGGGGAGGGGAGGGGGTGCGGCCTAAAGTTAAAAGCACCAGTTCCCCACTCCAACGATTGTCTCTGAAATCAACAAACAGAAACAAATCTCCTGAAATCACCCAATTCCTCTCTGCTTCAATTCCATGAACAAACAGTTCTCAAGCTTTCTAAAAACAAGCTGGGGTTAATGTGGCGGCGCCAAACACATGAGGTAGATGGATACTCTATTCCGCCTGGTTAGCCTTCACCCCTCCGACGATCAAAACCAGCATCAACAGTCCTCTTTTAACTCCAGCCGCACTTCCAGTAGCTCCCGCTCTTCTCTCCACCCACCTTACCACCAATACCTCCCTTCCACCTCCTACTTCGAACTCTCCCAAGAAGAAGAATGCTGCTTCATCAATCCCCATCATCCCTCCCCTTATTTCTACAACAAAAACAGCAACTTTTTCATGGATGAGGACTTCTCCTCCTCCTCCTCATCTTCCAGACATTTCCAACAACCTGCTCGTCCTCCCCACCATCTCCCCCCAATCCCCGACCTCTTCTCCGATCCCAACCGCCGCTGCTGGGCCTCCGACCTCCTCCTCGACTGCGCGCGTGCCGTCGCCTCCCGCGACAGCTCCCGCGTTCAACAACTCATGTGGATGTTAAATGAACTCGCTTCCCCATACGGAGACCTTGACCAAAAGCTCGCCTTTTACTTCCTCCAAGCCCTCTTTGCTCGTCTCACCTCCTCCGGCCCCCGCACCCTCCGCACCCTCTCCTCCGCCTCCGACCGCTCCACTTCCTTTGACTCCACCCGACGCAACGCCCTCCGCTTCCAAGAACTCAGCCCATGGTCTTCCTTCGGTCATCTCGCCGCCAATGGAGCCATTCTCGAATCCTTCCTCCATTCCTCACCCCCCACACGCCTCCACATCCTCGACCTCTCCACCACCTTCTGCACCCAATGGCCCACCCTACTCGAAGCCCTCGCAACTCGCTCCGCCGCCGATGAAGACACTCCCCATCTCTCTATCACCACCGTCATCCCCTCCACCTCACAAACCGCTCGCCGCGTCATGCGAGAAATCTCCGCCAGAATGGAGAAGTTCGCACGTCTAATGGCCGTCCCATTCCGCTTCTCCGTCGTCCACCATCCCCATTCCGACCTCTCTACTCTCGACCTCGACACACTTATCTCACACGACTCCTCATCTCCCGCCGCCACTCTCGCCGTCAATTGCGTCAACTCTCTTCACGGCGTTCCTCCCTCCGCCCGCCGCCGCGACATCCTGCTGGCTAAAATATCCAGCTTGCGCCCGCGAATCGTGACGGTGGTCGAAGAGGAAGCTGAGCTCGAGTTTGATGAGGAAGATGAGGAGAGATTCCTCAAAGGTTTTAGGGAAGCGTTGAGGTTTTTTTCGGCATATTTTGAGACGTTGGAAGAGAGCTTTCCTAAGACGAGCAATGAACGGCTGGCGCTGGAGAGGGGTGCGGGACGTGCGATGGTTGATTTGGTGGCTTGTCCGGCGGATCAGTCGGCGGAGAGGAGGGAGACAGCGGCGGGGGGGGGGGGGGGGGGGGGGTGGTCGAGGAGGATGAGGATGGCTGGGTTCTCACCGTTGGGGTTCAGTGATGACTTGGCTGACGATTTGCGAGCGTTGCTGAGGAGGTATAAGGAGGGGTGGTCGATGAGGGCTGCGGTAGGGACGGAGGAGGCGGAGGAGTCGACGTCTTCTGGCGGCGGAGGTGGCGGTAGAGGCGGCGCTGGGATGTTTCTGACGTGGAAGGAGGAGGCGGTGGTGTGGGTTAGCGCGTGGAAGGTTTGAAGCTGATTGGTGGCGGGAAGGCTTTAGGAACGTGAGTCAACTTGAAATGGTCGCACTGGGAAAGTTGAAGTTGGGTTGGGGGGAGGGATGGTCATGGAAGGACACGTGGAAGCCAGAGAGAAAGAGTTGTTAACAGTATTTTAAAAATTTGTAATCACCATATTTGTCATGACGAAAAAGAGTTTATTTTATTTTATTTTATTTTATTTTTCTCTAGAGTTCGGAAAAAAAATATTAAGTGTGGATGCAATGATCATGTGTTTGTATGCGTGCGCCGACAATAAACGTCAAGTTATCCTTGTTAATCGGCAGTGTGTAGTCTCCACAACTAATATTTTCTTTCATGTTTTGCAAGCTTAATTTTGACTAAAATATAATTTTTATTTTTAATTAAATAGAAAACTTTCTTTGAACATAATTAACATTTTTAAAATTTTCATTTTTATTGAATTAATGAGAATATGGAAGCAGTCAACTAAATAATTAACCAGCACTAAAAGTAAGCCCCTTAGAAGAAAGTTTTACTTAATACCATAAACCACATTAACTCAAGTTGGATTGGAGAGGTGAAGGTGGGTAACTGCCCTCGTGATATTTGAAATTTTTCTATATAAATGATAAAATTAATATTTCGATTATGTAGTTTAGGTTTTCGATACTTATAAAATTAAATATTTGATAATTTTGCCCACACCAAAAGATAATGAGATGATGGCCAAGAATAAAATCAGTCGTCACTCTATTCTTAGTTACTTGGAAAGATGAAGAGTGGAGGATTAGGTGCTGTTCTAATATAATGATGAAGATGATGGAGATGATGGAGATGATGAAGAGGAGAGAGAAAAGTGGAAGAAAAGCTTGCAGAATTGAAGGGGAAAAAGAAAAAAGGAATCAAAAGATAGTGCGTGGGGGTCGTTATCTGGTGAGGTGTCTGTGAAGGTGACAGTGGAAGCAAATCTTAGTATACGAGCTATTTATTTATCTTGGAATCTAACAACAACTAATGGTGGAGTTCCTCATGGTGGTCCAGGCCTGCACTGAACATCACCATTTTCATGCTTTCTACCTAGAGAGAGAGAGAGAGACAGAGAGAGAGTGACCGAGAGGAGATATGAATTATATATATATTATATATTCTTTTGTGCCTTTTAACCTTTTTGAGCCGCATAGGGGCAGCTCCACTCAAATAAAGCTTGTGGGGGATGGAGATGTGCTTCAGGATGGAGCTTTTGAGCCACAGAAAAGATAGTGGGAACTGCTTTTTAGGTTGGGTGGGAGTGGATCAAGACTATTCTTTCATGTGTTTGGACATTGATATATGATTCATGATTAATACGTGTGTTGTATTTTTAATTGGACTTGGGACTTGAAATGGCTCCAAGATTGATTTTTTGATATAATTGCGGATGTTAGAATATTTTCTTCCTGTGTCCTGAATATTCTTGTTATGTGCTGCTTACTTATTCTTCTTTGGAGTTATTACGCATACTTACCTTCACTTATATTTGGTAGTTGTTTTAAAGAATTCGTGCATGAATCCAAGCATGTTCATGATACGTATTATTCTTTGTGGGATGTTTGTTTTCATCGAGTACTTGGGGCGTGTTCCTGTAGTTTCTCCATGCTGCAAGGCAAAGAAGCATTTTTATTTGGCAACTTAAAAAATCAAATTTAGAAGTGTCACGTTCTAATTTATGATCGAATAAAGTATCTTAGTGAGGCAAATTAGATGGCATTAAAAATGATCGGATGTGAGTTCAAGTGAGCGCAGATCATGTACTTAAAGCATAAAAATAAGTTTTAAAAAATATATATTTTGGAAGACCATAGATCCCCAAGTTTGACAATTTCATAGTCAAATCAAGTGTCTCAATGAGATGAATATAATAAGCCTATGATCATTTAACTTTGACATTGTTAAGGTATTCAAATACACAAAAAAACTACATCTTATTACAAAAATTATTCTGAGTTGTCCGATGGAATGGTCTGAATTCATATAGTATTTTAGAAGGATTTCAGTGCCAAATTCCATTAATAAACCCCCACTCTCTTTGTGAGGGGGAAGCTAGACCTAGGGTTGGACCCAGAGGAGAATGCTAAGAGACCAGTTGGATTAGCACCAATTGACCACTTCTACCGATGATATTGACAAAATATTTTCTAGCACACAATATCTGCCATCAGTCTACTTCATAAAAATCGAGTCGCTACTATTTCTCTAACACATTCCACCACTCTCATATTGGAAATCGCGTTAATAAACCCCCACTCATATAATATTGCTTCCAACTATTTAAGGTTCAGTAAAGTCTTGTAATTCAAATCAACATAGTGGAATCATTTCAACTCAACTAGATCCCACGGTTTTTACTCTTTTTGGTTTTGCAATATAATTTATTTTTGTGTCAGATCTTCGCACAATATTAGGATGTTAATATATTACTTTTTCATCACGAATTTATCAGCACACAACAACAAAGTAAACCAACTTCACATGTTGCGTTTATAAAAATAACTTGAAGGAAATCCCCTCAGAGAAAGACAAGTATTTTAATAAAAAGAATTTTATTCACTTTGAATGATATATCACTCATGATAAATTTATACATAATTTTAATATTTAGGTGGAATGAAGAAAGAATATGCCAAATATATATTAGGAATATGTGAGTCTACATGAATACAATTAACACTCATTACTAGAACCAAATTGCCATGATATAGATAACAAAACTTTATTAAGTTCTCCTAAATGTCAATTAAATACTAATATTTCTAATGATATTGTGGTAAATATGTAGTATGGCAGCCATTCTTCAAATGCATGCTACTGTTTGTGTCATTGATCATAAGGATACTTGATTTTTAGATTTGGTGTTTTAGAATATCATTTATTCATTAGCATCATGTAAAGTGAAACATATCAAATTGTTACTATATGTGATGGTTTATTCGAGAGCAAATTTAGACTTTGAATCTACAAAACATGATTTCAAAATAGTTGATGAGAGGGGCAAGAAATGAATAGATTGGTTTAATCACCACCACAATTATAGAGGATGTGGGACCATAGACATGTTTGCATTACCCAACATGTTCATCTTTATAGTGATCATCTATATATGCACTTTTCATTGCTATAGTGATATTGATATGCACTTTCATGCAATGGATATGGGGATCTATGTAGGTACTAGTCCATGCATGTGGATTGCACCACAAAGCAATTATGCTCTGAGCATCATTTGATTTGAGGTGTTGATGATTTGGATGAATAAAAGTTCATCTTTGGGTTATTTTTAAAACTTAGGGAAGCGTCCTCCAAGCACGCTTTGCTTTCCACTTCTTTATGTCAATAATAAAATATTAATATTGCACATTATTTTATTAAATTAAATAATAAAATTTCTCAAAAGCATGATGCACCCTTTATATTTAGGCAATTTTACATTCATGCCACACAATTCTTATATATTTACATATTTAACATTGAAAATTTTGATATTTACACGTCACATTTTGATGTCATAAATCTATACATGAAAATATTTATTTCACTTCTAAAAAAATAGTAATAATCATATTTTTTTTATGTGATATTAATAAGTTAAGTGTTATATATGCATGTCATAACGAAAGCTCGGATGTAATATATAAAATTAAAAGAAAAAAAAAAGAGAGAAAAATTAACTGGATGCTTCATTAAGGTTCGGCCAAATTTGTTGATACAAACATTATGATAGTTTAAAAACTAATAGGCTAAGCTTTCAACAAATAGACTAACATTAAGATGCCATTGAATAGCACTACTAAAATAGCTTGCATTATCAACATGGCCTAATTTTGCCATTACAACATTCATTGGCAAGTTCTAAGGCAGCTGTATACTGAATTATGAATCTCAATGGTGGACATAGGAGTGGTTGATAGAGGTTTTTTTTGGTCTCTTACATTTGAAAATAAAATTCTATACAACAATAATATAATATGAAATTATCAAGTTTAAATTCTCTTGTAGTTATGCATTTATAAAAATGCTGTCCCTCCTAAACTGGCAATAATTAGCCTTTGTATATTATTTTTTACTATTTATAATTCTAAATTAACATTCATGTGGGCGCGTGTCCTCATACTGACTGACACAATTGGAAGCTCACTACGGGCTGCGAAATCATGCAATGGTTTTGCAAGCTCTAGCTTTTCTTTTGCACCTTCATCCAAATTGACTACCCTAGCTAGACAACTGCCCTAATTTGTGTCATCTTTTCGCTGGGAACAAGCATACGAGGTCAATGAATTTATGCCATCACAAAAAGAAGAAGACAATGTCTAAATAAATAAAACTTTTGAACAAAGGTGACGTTTTAAGTCAAGTCACGGGGAAAATAATATAAAAACTTTTTTCTTCGTCTGTTCGATATAGGGACAAATGATTGCAAATGTCAAAAGTGATGAATGGCTTTGGAATAAATCTTAAACTAGAAGAAAAGCTCGTAAAGTAGATGCAGACGATCGAACATTCAAATGTATCGAGGATCGTTTTGGATGAATGTTGGCGGCAGAAGCACCTTGTGGTTTCGAACGTTTTGGTTGCAAATCTTCGGTCTTGGTTTCGGCACCATTTAGACGAATCATATGTTTGATTATGTTGTGGTCAAGGTACTGAAACAAAGAGAGGGGCTGGCCCTCAATTAGCGCCTTGTGGTTTCAAACGTTCCCTGGCAAGGTCTTTATTCTTTTCACCTTGCACTCAGTAGGAGAAGTGTGAATCCCCCATCTGCCCGCACACGAGGTGACCAAGAACTTCGTCTTTCAGTCCTTCACCTTGTTCTCAAGCCCCAACAAATGATTTGTGTGTCGACGGTGAACTGAATATATTCATCACAACTAAACTAGAAGGAGAATAGTTGATTGAAGAGTTTGATCGACTACGAGATCTCCATCCTCAGATAGAAGAGCACGTTAGTCATGATGGCGGCGATCGCTTTGGGAAGGATCTAAGCAGAGATGATGTCATAATGATTGAAGATTGACAGCCGAAAATCCATCCTAAAGTGATATTTATAAAGACAAGGTCTGGAGAGGATGTCGACAGGTCCTAGGAGAATCGTAGATCCAAAACACAACGATTCTGAATCTCCTCTACGTCAGCCGCCGATACGACCTAAACCTCCGTAGCAGAAATCGAACCAAACGATTCCTGGAAGTATTTCCAAAACATGGAGTCTATGACACCATACGGGAAATAATAAGAAGAAGATAATGAAAACCAGAGAAAGGAAAGAA